TATTAATTTTATTTTTTATACCCTGCCCATCTGGTTGGGTTTCCCCAGCCTCCCTGGGCAGCTTACAGTATATCTAAAAACAAAATAAAAACAAGCATTAAAAAAACCTCCTAATACAGGGCAACCTTCAGATGTCTTCTAAATGTTGTGTAGTTCTTTATCTCCTTGACATCTGAAGGGAGAACGTTCCACAGGGAGGGCACCACTATCAAGAAGGCCCTCAGCCTGGTTCCCTGTAACTTTGCTTCTTGCAGTGAGGGAACCAGCAGAAGACCCTCGGAGGAGGACCTCAGTGTCCAGGCTAAGCGTTGGGGGTGGAGACACTCCTTCAGGTATACTGAATAATTCAGGTACAAGCATAATTAAATATCATGATCAGGTCTAAATATTAATCCTGATTATCAAAAAAAACTTTTCCCTGTTTTACTGTAAATTTACTTCTGAAATAAACAACATCCTGTTGATTTTTTTTTGACACAAAGTACTTTTTTAGGAAGAAGTATTACATTTTCATACAGTGCTGAAGGCTCATGAATAATTTTGAATTCATTTTCATTCTTTTATGTTTCCACTTTTAAGACATCTTTTTTATGTGTGCTAAGAACCTTGAACAATCTCTTTACTCAGCAGTCTTCCGCATTTTGTTTTCTCTCTTTTTTTAACCTTAGAACTCTGTGTCTCCAACTTTGCAATACATTTTTTATACGTGACATTTTGTTTTCAAGCAAGAGTTCATTCTGGAAGGAAGAAATCGAAGCTAGTGAAAGGATTGGCTAATTATCATTTTTCTCAGGACAACAGAAACATGCTGTTCTGTTGACTTGCAGTGTTTGTAATTTATACCCATTAAATTGATGTTTTATCATCTATTACTGATTCCTAGGCTTCTGTTTGCACTTATTGGTTGTAACAAGCATTTTGTTTTTGTACAGGAGAAAAATGGTCTCAGTCACTTCTACTGTATCCGAAAAGGAGAATGGGATTTGTAAATGATAAATGGGGAAGTTGACTAGCTAACTAATAAAGATTTGTCTTAATCAAGTATGATTTGTCAGAACAGGAGCGCGTTGAGGTCAGGGCACATGCAATGAATAATACAGCATTCACAGGAGAGGAGGACCAGGCAAAAGGCCTCATAAATATGCTGTGATTACCCAGTGCTAATTCATATTCAAAGAATGAGTGGCATTGAAGCCAGCTCCTAGGTTTCTGAGCAGTTAACCTGTGCTGTGGTGTGTTTTTTCCCCGGGTCCTCTGGTCTTAAGAAAACTTTAGCATATTTTCTATAAGTATCATGTTCGATGCAGCTCTTATTGTATTGGATAAATGACGTTGTTTGTGGTTGCTGATTTGAAGCCTCAATTATTATACTTCCCCCCCCTCTTTATTGCTCTCAATTTCAATAACTTTTGTTTATTGTTATTTAGTATGAGTATTGGTGCAACAGTGAATGTGCTGCCCTTTCCCACTTTGCATGTATCTCTAAAGCATGAATGTTTTGTCACAAAGTTCTCTTTACTACCTTGAAAGAATGTAGAATAAAACAGAAATACAGTGGTACCTCTAGTTAAGAACTTAATTCATTCCGGAGGTCCATTCTTAACCTGAAACTGTTCTTAAACTGAGGTACCACTTTAGCTAATGGGGCCTCCCGCTGCCGCCGCTGCGCTATTTCTGTTCTCATCCTGAAGCAAAGTTCTTAACCCGAGGTACTACTTCTGGGTTAGCGGAGTCTGTAACCTGAAGCGTTTGTAACCCGAAGTGTGTGTAACCCAAGGTACCACTGTAGTACTTACCTATCTTTCCCCACATTTTTGACTATCTAATCAGACACCTAAGTGTAGTTTCCTAAAGTTAAAACTTTGTGCAGTTTGGATTGTTGGGTACTTGAATATACCCGGTGGTGGTCAAATCCCTTTGGAAGTATGTGGACTTTGGGGGTTAGTGCTGCTTGGAGTAGGGCACAAAGGAACTCCAGGTTTCGTAGGTCCTTGGGCAAGATCACCTCCATGAGCTTCCCCCTGGCTCTCTTGTCACTGAGCCGTTATTGCCAACTGCTGCTACTCCTTTTCAAATTCCCACTCTTTTAGAGCTTCTGAATAGAGAGCAGAGAGATGATAACTGCAGAAAGGTTTCTCAAGATGATCAGCCTTATTTACAAATTTTATTAGTAGACTTCCAATTGTCTGTCCAAGCTGGTTCTCATATATATATATATATATATATATATATATATATATATATTTTCGAGAGAGAGAGACGCATAGCCAAAATACCCTATTTTGAGTTATGCCCTAACACAAATGTGTTGGCATCATCTGGAGCAGAAAAACATGTGGGAAAGACATAATCACTGTTACCATATTTATATTTGTATAGAGGAAATTGAGATTGAAAAGGAATGAATAGTTCATATGTGACTGACATGGAATGCATACTCTGTAGATTTTAGCCAATTTTAGTGACTGATAGCCTACTGATGAACATCCAAATAAGTTTACATATTGTTCAAACTTCCTAACTTAGCTTGTTTCCCCATAGCCTCTGAAACAGCTTTCCTTAAATTGTTGTCAGTGGGACTACTCCAGGAGTGAACAGTTGAAGAACATCAACTGAATACTTTAATGTTCATCTTCCTGCACTGGTTTTAGACTGAGAGCAACAGTTACTGATTCTTCTGCCTGGTTAAATCGGGGTGGGGAACAGTTGATCCTCTACACAGTAAGGATGGCAAATAGCCAGGGATAATGGGAGTTGTAGTCCAGTAACATCTGGATAGCCACAGGCTCCCTACTCCTGGGTTAATAGATTCACCACACTTGCCCCACCGTGAAGTTTGGACATAGCCTTGGGATTATCTACAAATTGCAGTTTCCAGGGTAGGTTATTACAAATCATATATGCATGGTAGTTTTCCAATGTAACATCTTTAACGGTTGGCACATGTATTGTACTTGTTGTTTTGTTGTTTAGTCATTTAGTCGTGTCCGACTCTTCGTGACCCCATGGGCCAGAGCACGCCAGGCACTCCTGTCTTCCCGCAGTTTGGTCAAACTCATGCTGGTAGCTTCAAGAACACTGTCCAACCATCTCATCCCCTTCTCCTTGTTGTATTGTACTGTGTAGCTCTAATTTGAACATTCCTGTTGGTAGCTGGTGCTGAGTGTCCTTATAGTTTGAAGTATCCACATGATTGGCTGTGGTCAAGACTGGAGCATGACAATGGTTACTAAATAATGTGGGTGTGGGGGGGGGACACAGGTGTATCGCTCAGTATGCATTGCTCATTCGGTAGAGCCTGAGACTCTTAATCTCATGATTGTTTGGCAAAAGATTTCTGTACTTCAGGGGTTGGACTGAGTGATCCTTGGAGTCCCTTCCAACTCTACAATTCTATGATTTATTGATTGATTGATTGATACATTTCTATCTCACCTTTCCTCCAAAGAGCTCAAGGTGACATACACGGCTTTCCAGCTCCCCAGTTTACCCTCACAATAACCTAGGCCAGGGGTAAGCAACCTAAGGCCCATGGGCCGGATGCAGCCTAATCGCCTTCTCAATCCAGCCTGCGAACGGTCCGGGAATCAGCGTGTTTTTACATGAGTGGAATGTGTCCTTTTATTTAAAATGCATCTCTGGGTTATTTGTGGGGCATAGGAATTTGTTCATTCCCCCCCCCCCCAAATATAGTCCTGCTCACCAAATGGTGTGAGGGACGGTGGACCGGCCCATGACTGAAAAATGTTGCTGACCCCTGACCTAGGCTTAAAGTCTGTGACTGGCCCAAGGTCACCCAGTGGGTTTCATGGTTGAGTGAGAATTTGATTCCTGGTTTCCGAAATCCTAGTCCAACACCACACGGGATTTCTTCATTTTTGTAATTTAAGATAAAAGCATTAGCTGCTTTCAGTCCTACATTTTAACCTATTCTTTAATTGAAGCTTTTAGCACAGCCATGTGATTCATTTTGCGTTGAATGTTGTTAAGCTGTCATTTTCTGTGCAGTGAATGGTGGATAATATGCTCCATTTTGGAAACCCACTCCATATCTGTTTTATTTTGTACAGTTTCTCAACTGCTTCTTTATTGCACAAGCTCGATAGTAAAGTTTGTGAATTATGATAACAACTATTTTACTCAACATTCTACAGTTTTCTGTGTATTGGCATGTAGTCATTAACTATTATTCTTTTTAGCCATATAACCACCCCTTGTCATCTAAGAATCTTATGATCTAAATACTTCTATCTGTTAGCACTAGTTTCCATATCTAAATATGTCAACTGAAAAGCTATAAATTACAGCAGTTTCACTTGTGCCCCAACACTTAAGATATGTCAGCACTTCCTTTCATTAACTTGCTGTTGTCAGAAACCTAATAATTTGGCTCAAACCTGAACTTTTTTGCTTCAAACTGTGTATTCCCAAGCCTATAAATCCAAGTTGTCACTTCAGTAATACTTTACATTCAGTCCTTTCCTAAAAGCACCACTCCCTCTTTTACCCCCACCCTTCTAATCTCTCACTGATGTGATCAGCTTTTTAAAAAATTCATCTGTTACCAAATTTAGTCTCCTACAATAGAGTAGTTTAACTTCAGGTGAAAGACAAATCTCATTGACAAAAAAGATCCTTTACTTAACTTTCAAGCATAAGTCGCTCAAATGTTTTAACTCATTTCTTATTAATTTGTCACCTGAATAGATAGATCTTATAAAACATCTGTTTCTATCCTTTGCTGTCTTATTCTCATTGCAAATAAAGTTATAAAGATGACAAAGATTCAACCAGACTAAAGAAAGTTACTAGAGCGAAAAAGACCTTCTGTGAGACTGACTTTTATTTATTTCATAAAATGCATATACCACTTAATTTTTTTCATTTTAAAAACCCTCAAAGCTTAACCATGTTGCATTACTTCTTCGAATCTTCGAATTGTTGAGTTGGAAGGGACCACAAGGGTCATCTAGTCCAACTTCTGCAATGCAGGAATCTTTTGGCTAATGTGGAACTCTAACCCATGACTCTGAGATTAAGAGTCTCATGCTCTGCCAATTGAGCTATCCCTGAGACTCTTAAATCCTGATTCTATACATTTGAGCAGACATTTCATTTGCTTGTGATGTTGATGTAGCATGGCTATGAAGCCTTACTCTGCCATGTTTTGGGACACTGGTTCAGTAACAAAGCTTCCGTTACTCTGACAGAGGAGAAGGGGTGTCCTCTGATGTAAGAACTCCTTCTGCTGAACAAAGGCAACCTCTGGATCCAGTCCATTGCTTTCATGTCAGAAATTATATAGAAGAATTCTAAGAATTTGTGTCTCATCCACCTGACCATTCTTTGAAAATAGAATCGTTTAACTCAGAGTATAAATGTAGTAAATTGTGCAATGTAGGATTGTTCATTGTGGAAAGGATACTCAGTCTCTATCTCAGTAAATTTTCTATATTGGGGATGTACCAAAGGTGCAGACAGTCAGCTACAAATTCACTCTTAAATTTTTAGGATTGGACAGCAGCCATACCACTATAAATGGTAAATGTAGAAAGGCCTCAAACTCTAGTTAATCTAATGTGAAAGCTTCCAATATCCACAACAGGAAAAAAATGAGAAGGGGAAGGCATGTGAGCCTATGTCTTTCTGGGGCTCATTCTTATAACCCTAAAATATTTCATTATTACATTTAGTATGGTACTCTTCTTTGCTTAGCTGTTCAACTTCGCAAGTTATCTAACGATATGAAGACAAGGCAATTCTGGATTTTAAGAAGCTTGATTCATTGTCCCTCTAAGGCTTGTACTAGATGATAAATTTACACTTGCTGATGTGTTATCATTTCATTGCAGCATAACTCAAGAATGAAATAATTTGTCTGTTGAATGTTCATGCTTTTTTCAGGCAGCACATAAATTATACTGGTGGCTGTGAAAGTATTTGAACTTTGCAATTCTGGATATTTTGTGTATCTTATTACAATAAAATCTTAGTCCCTTTTTGGAATTCTGCACAGCAATGTTTAATTATATCATTGTTTAATCATAGTGAAGTAATAGATGGATGGAGCCTTTCTGTATTAGGACTCGTTATGATAAACAAATGCTTTCATTTGTTTCTAAATGCTCCTAGAGTTTACAAGATAAGTCTGGATTTTGTAAAGGGTTTGGTATGCCCAGTGTGTCTTCTTTGTTTTTCTTTTGTTTGTTTTTTTATGGTAAATCACCATTCTGCATTGAAAATGGTGTGTGATCTTGTGGTGGGGAGAGGATGTAGCTGTTCAACTACTTTAATCATAAGCACTATTCTATTCTACAGCTCTCTGAATTATGGTCTGAACTCTAAATGTGGAGTTCACCACATGCATTTTGTAAACCTGCTCCAAAGTTCCCAACCACCAATATTGTTTACTATTTATGCGGATGAATTATTTCAAATTCTTTAGAGAATCTAAGCTTAATCCTTGGATACAAATAAATATACCAGAGTGCACATTTTAAATAAAAATGAGTTTTAGGCATTGCACCATTTGCCAAATGGAATAATTGAGAGCAAGGGTTCTAGACTAGAACATTACGGTTTATCTCCCAAATGCTGTTTGAATGATTAGAAGGATCATTGCTGGAGTTCTGGAAGATGGCTGTTTGCTGCCAGGCATTTATTCAAATTCGACTGCAGGTAGCAATTCAGGGTTAGTCAACATGATGCCCTCCAGATGCTGTTGGATTACAGCTCCCATAGGATGCTCTGAAGGCATAGGAGACTGCCACCTGCTAAAGCTAAGCAGGTCTACATCTGTTCAGTGCCTGGATGGATGACTGATTAGGGACCAAGTGTATGTTTCCTTGGGTTCCACGATAGAAGAAAGGTGGGATATAAATGTAAGGAAATAAATTCCCATCAGTTCCTGCCAAAATAGCCAGTGATCAGGAATTATAAGAATCTCAGTGCAGCGTTTGGAGAGCATAATATTGGTGATTCCTGTGCTGCTTCATCATTTTGGACCTGATGACCCTGGATTCCTGCATAAATATATTTTTAAGCAGTTGTATACATTGTCATACATAGTACAAAACTAGAAGTCTCAATGTAAGCAACCATGTAAACAGTGGTTGATTGATAAAATTTGAGAGATTATGATTATGTACAAACTAATTCAGCAAGTACAGCAAGCAAATGATGTTATGGCATCCTGGTTTCCTTTTATTTCCTGTGGGAAAGCCCTTGAGGCTTCTCATCAAATTCCAATCAAGGACAGATGTCTATATCCCCCCCCCCCCCGACTATAATCTCTCTTTCTCGTTCATATGAAACATAGATCCCATCTTTCAATAGTTAGCGAGCTTCTCCTTAGGCTGTTTTACTGTAGTTGCCCCATAGGCATATACAGGATAGTCTAAGGATTGTAATCAGTGAGTTTCTTTATTCCTTTAATTGTGTTTTAGTATTTTATGAGTGTTGCTTTTTGTAGTTTTAATTTTTTCTAAAATGAAATTCCATGAAACTGTGATTGAAAGGAATTTGCTGTGAGAAGAGAGTCGTTGATTTCTGCTGAATCCCATCGAGCCTCCATCTTTGGCTGCAGCCTCCTGCACCAAAGTGCTACTATATCAGAGTAACCCTCAGGAGTGGATTTTCAAAGAACTGCAGAAGGAAGGAGACCTCCAAACCTCTATTGCCCAAACTCTTTGGATTTAAGCCTATGTTTCAAGTGTTGTATAATTGACACTGTTAATTTAACTTTGGTTTACTTTGGTGGCATCTCTGAAATTATTTTTTGATGGGACATGGGTGGCGCTGTGGGTAAAAGCCTCAGCGCCTAGGACTTGCCGATCGAAAGGTCAGCGGTTCGAATCCCCGCGGCGGGGTGCGCTCCCTTTGCTCAGTCCCAGCGCCTGCCAACCTAGCAGTTCGAAAGCACCCCCGGGTGCAAGTAGATAAATAGGGACCGCTTACTAGCGGGAAAGTAAACAGCGTTCCGTGTGCTGCACTGGCTCTCCAGATGCAGCTTGTCACGCTGGCCACGTGACCCGGAAGTGTCTTCGGACAGCGCTGGCTCCTGGCCTCTAGAGTGAGATGAGCGCACAACCCTAGAGTCTGTCAAGACTGGCCCTTATGGGCAGGGGTACCTTTACCTTTAACCATTTCAGCCCAAAGTTGTTTAAAGCTCTTAACACCTTTGGGCTGAAATGGTTACTACTAGCTATAGTCTCTTCATAAAATACTGAGCCTTCTCTTTAGTTGTATATGTTTGCTAGGAGGCAATGCAGCTATTTCAGTTCTTTGAGTTTTCTGCCGGGTTGAAATTCATGGCTGAAAGTATTGGCCCTAAGTGACATATCAGCAATTCATTTTCTGGTATTCCAACTGACATGGTCTCCATCCTTTATTTATTGATATCTTCAGTCATTGGCAATGAGAGGAAAATACACTATTTGTCAAAGCTGACAGTGTTCTACTCTTGGTTGATGACACTGTTGTCTTGATCAGTCGACACTAAACTTGATGCCAATTGGCAAAGTATATTTATTTTCAAAAATGTGATATAAAGTGATTTTTTATCTCTGTTTGCAAAACATCATACTTCAGCATTTTTATTTACTTTTTAAAAGGAAAGGGTTTCTTTTCCCTGTTTTAAGGATTGGTTTGAGTCTCACTTGTATACAAGTGAGATTTCATAGTGTGGTACTCAACTGAGTTTTGCTCAGAGAAGACCTATTGGAATCAATAGACCTAATTTAGTCATGTTCACTCATTTCAGTGAATCTACTCTAAGTAAACCTTAGTTGAATACCACCCATTGCTTTGAATCTGGGTAGGTTGAAGAATAATATTTATTAGATGTATAGCCTTGAAAGCTTATGGCAAGTACAAACAACAACAAAACCAGAAGGAAATTGAATTGACTCATATTCACTGAAATTTCTCTCCTTTTTTCAGCTTAATCATGAGCTTCAAATGATTCAGTATTGGTTTATGTCATATAAGACGTTGAAAGAGGATGAGGAATAGATATGTCTTCAAATATTAATGCTCATTTGCACAAACAATAGACTAACACAATAATGGTACAAAAGATTAAAGAGTTTCAGAAATATTTATACTGTTCTTCCATCTATATACAATAATCTGTCCTTGTAGCATATATTGTACCACCTTTCACCTCTGGGAGGCATTATATATGCAGCTAAAAATTAAGAGCATCAAGCCAGAAAGAAACTGAGAGCACTATGGCTATATAAATTCATGGTTAGCTATCTGAGGAAGTATTCATATTTATATTATTCTATCAGGGACTGCTACCAAAATATAAACTTTAGTAATTTATAAAATATATACCATATTAAGGTGAAATATGTCAATTTAACTAATAATAGCTAAAATAACAATCTTGGTAATATGCATCTATGCACACCTCATCATTTCCTTTGTGGGGCTGGATTACCAAAACTATCTTAGAGTTTTGATGTATAAGTTCAGTAGATTTAAATCGCTGTAGTATGCTGTTACTGGAATAATCCCGTCTCCCATCAAATGGGTGTGGTCCATAGTGAGACAATGGATATTTTGTTTTTTACTGGATATCAGCTCTCACACCTTGGAGGGTGCTACTCCTGTGGGGAAGCTCCAGCTTCATGGATGCTTTCCATGTGTAGCTCCTGTTGCCAGAAGGGGGAACTAAACAAAAAACAAAAAACGCCTATGTTTATGCAGAATTTCATCCATGACACCTGGGATCCTGACTACTGTGATATGTGTTTTGCCCAATACAGTATATCAGTTCTGCATCGGTTTTCAATGGTATATGGACTGCATGTTTTTCATTTCTGTGGCTTAAGATTGTTCTTAGGATTTTATTCAACTAACATACCCAGAGAAGACCCACTGAAATTAACAACACTGACTAATGTTAATGAGTCTACTCTGGGTAAAAGTTGGTTGACTACAACCATGATTATCACATTTGGAGACTTATGTTTCATAAAGTATTTGCTAAATTTTATCCTTTCCATGCTGTTTAAAGTGATATTCTCTATTTTTCATGGTTTGTGACGTTTCTACCCACTTT